CTTGTACAGCAATTAACCACTAAGAAGAATATATGCAGTGTATTATTTGTTGAAACTGTCCTTCCGATATGATTTGAAACTGTCTCATTGCTGTTTGTCAATAAAACTTTGAAAAAAAAAATAAAAAAATAAAAAAATAAAAATACAGCTAGAATCACTGTGTATTGAGCTTTAGATGCATTTTGATTCTTTTCACTGTAGCTATCGTATCTTTTTAAGTTACCTTTTTCTTGGGACCATCTGCAGCACATCATGACCGCAGTCCTCGGACACACAGCACATCTCATTCTTGCACCCTCTGCTGCTCCTCCCCACCCCGCCCTACCCCCACTTTTGGTCCCCTGCCCATCTGAGAAAAATCTCTCTCCACTTCCTACTATCTTTTACTTTGCTCTGTATTTATAAGTTTGAATTTCTCAGATAAGAGCAAACTGCAGTATTTAAACTCACGGGTCTTATTTCACTTAGAATTGTAATCTCAAGTTGTATCTGTTCTACAAAAAATTCAAGTTTATCTTTATTTTAAAATTATATAATCACTTACAAAATTTTGGTTCCCATTACCAGTATGATGCAAAAAGGTCTGGTTGATTGAGTGTGCAACTCCGTCCACACCCAAGCAAAAGCAGCACTGAGCTGATGGGTGAGAGTGAAGGTGTGGACATCCAGCTGTCACTAAAATCCAGTGTCCTACACAGGAGGACATTGTCACACTGCTTCCCCTGACCGAGGGGTTAAACCTTCTGGGGGGATCTGCTATCTCCCAAAGCTGTGGGACTCTGCTCTCCAACTCCAAGCAAGGAACACAAAGGTGCCTCACAGACTGAAAGGTGCGTGTGCTGCTGTTCCTGCACTGTGCCCCCTTTGAGGTCACTTGGCTGCAAAAGTAATTCTCCATCTAGGGGGCTTAGCAGGTGCTCTATAGAGGCAGACAGTGAATTTGCCCAGTGTGGCAGGATTCCAAGTCTGGCCTCTACCACTTAACTCTACCGCTGTCCAGAAGCAGCCACAGGGCCGGGTGATGAAGGGTGTGACCGTATCAAGACAATAAAGACAGGCAGTGGTCAGATGGCTTTGGCTGCTCTTGGCAGAGAGACCCCTTCCAGCTGGCTGCTTCTTCCTTCCTCCATTAAGGACGTGTCTTACTTCACAGCCTGTTCTCACTGTTTTTAACACACCCACCATTGCCTGGGCCTACCTAACTCCTCCCTCTACTCTTCCAATGAAGGCATGCACTCACAGTCACCCTCCTTACCAGCTCTGGTGGCAGATTCCTTTCCTTCACTTTTGCTCTGACCCAAGCGCCCCACCTCATCAGCTGCTGTGTGGTGTTGTAGGAGGACATCAGCCTTAAGCCTGCACACTGGAATCCACCACCCCCAGCACACTCCATCAGCACACGGTTCATGCTGAGCTATCAGAGAGCCCGAAGATGCAGAAGAAGACTTCTTTTGGTTTTCTCATCCAGAGGAAAACAACATGGATGTGAGGTGGGGGCTGCTGGGACTTCCGCTCCTCCTCTTGAAGGCCGTGGGTGGGAGGTCAGGGTCCGTCCAGAGCTGCACAGGCACCCCTGCTCCACCAGTCCTCACCTCATGGGCCCGTGACTCCAGCTACTATTCTTGCTCACCTCCCCTTCAGGAGTCACAGGTGCCAGGTCCTAGCTCTGGGTACCTCCTTTAGGAACGTGGGGACAGAAAGCCTTCTTTTCCAGATACTCAGTCTGCAAGGGCAGCAGGTGTTAACCAGTTAGAAAGGAGAGAGGAGGGGTAGGAGAAGGGAGGGGGAGGGGAGGGGAGGGGAGGGGGAAGAAGCTATGATAAGACTGTGGAATTAGGAAATTAGAAATAAAACAGTGGGCTGCAGCCCACCAAGTAATACACACCACACTCAAGTGGCCAGTGGGCAAATACCTCCTTACTCTGCGAGGCAACCCACTTCTGCATACACGTATGTGGAAAGCACGACTTTCGAGTTTCCTGATAAAACGCTTACTCAGGGGTGGGGGAGATGGCTCAGTGGAATAAGCACTTCCCTGGCAAGCGCAAGGGTCTGAGTTCAACCCCCAGTTCCACCAAAAAACAAAACAACAACAAGAAAAACTACTCGCTGACTTCCAGAGATATACATCATTGTTACCCTCCTCGATGAAAGTAAAACTAGAATACGGGTCTTGATTACTACATGGTATATTGAGT